TTGCCCACTACGTTTGAAAAAGTGGATTTCAGAACTGGCCAAAAATCCTTTGTAATCTTTCCAGATTTTCACCGTCCAGCAAAACTTTTCCAAACTCCTGGAAACTTTAGTTTGATCTGATCCTCTCCAGTGAAACATTCTTTTTTAATTGTTAAAGAGAAGCCTATTTATACTTTTTGTATCAAGGCCCCAGCGATCAACACCTTTGTGAGTAGCCTAATGTGGTCAACAGTTTTGTGAGGTGACCTATAGTGAACAGCCCTTTAGTGAACATGTCCGGTCACTGTTTGTGTGAACATGTTCACCACAAAGGTCGAAAATTATATATCTATCTATCTATCTATCTATCTATCTATCTATCTATATATATATATATATATATATATATATATATATATATATATATATATATATATATATATATATATATGTATATATATATATATACATATATATATATATGACGGGAACCCTCCCGTCACAATGACGTGTGAACCCTCTCTCTCTCTTGCTCTCTCTCCTTTCCTTTCTTCCGTCCCTCTCACCTGTGTGTGTACCCTGTCTTTCCCTCTCCTTTTCCCTGTCTTCCATTTAGAGGAGAGGGGGGGGGGGGTGAATGAGGCAGGTTCCAATCAGGTGAGTGGGGGTAGTAATCACAGGCCGGAAGTGGAACAGGTGCTTATACCTGTCTTCACACACCTGTCTATATCACTGTACACACTTCTGTCTGTGCCTTAGGGGCTATTCATGCCTGTGGCACCTCTTGGCTGGCCTAATCTTCATCAATCAACGTCTGTACACCTGCCCACGAACCTGTCCACACACTCCTGTCTGTACACCTGCCTACACACACCTGTCTGTACACCTACCTACACACACCTGTCTGTTGTCTGTACACCTGCCTACACACACCTTGAAGACAGACATCATTGATTGTATTGTAGAGAGCTCCAGTCATTGATTGTTCTGTAGAGAGCTCCAGTCATTGATTGTTCTGTAGAGAGCTCCAGTCATTGATTGTTCTGTAGAGAGCTCCAGTCATTGATTGTTCTGAAGGGGGAGGGTGAGTGTTCGAGGGAGGAGGAGGGATATAAGGGGGGGGGGGGGTTCTTTTCCTCTCCTTGACAGTGTTGACAGGAGAGAAGTTCTCTCATCTCCACCCCCCCCCCCCTCCCTTCCCTCCAACATTAGGTTTTTCGTAGAAAGCCTTTCCTTACTATCACTTCCCCCTTCCCTAGCTTAAACTCATTCATCTTTCCCACCACTAGTTCCCTTTCCCCCCTAAACCCCCATTATATCACCATTACTTCCACAACTACCAATGCCTCGACCTTCATTACCACCACCCTCACATCTACCACCACCACCACCCTCACATCTACCACCACCTTACATCTACCTACCACCTGACATACTTCATACTCAGACCATAAGCTCATTGAAGTGCGAACTAGCATAAATAACGGTAGTAGGTCTAAGAGACCCAACAAGCGAGAAGGAATATTCAATCAATTCAATTTCAACAATAAGAGGATCGACTGGGAAAAAATAAATGTAGACCTTGCAACCATTCAATGGGAGACGGTCTTAAGCGAAAAAACTCCCACACAGGGAATAGCTCAACTGACAGCTGAAGCTTACAAGGTCTGCTTGAAGCACGTGCCTGTGAGGAGGGGCAGAAAGAGGACCACTCTAGAAAGAGAACGCAGACGACTGTACAGGAGAAGGAAAAAAATAACGGAAATGCTTCAGCAGACACGACTATCACAAGCAAGGAAAACAAGCCTAAGCAGGGAGATCGAAGAAATAGAACAAACGTTGAAGCGATCATATGAGTCTGAGGAAATGGAATTGGAACATAAAGCTATACAAGAGATAAAGAAAAATCCGAAATATTTTTTCACATACGCAAAATCCAAAACCTCGACCAGTATTGGACCGTTAATTACAAATGAAAGTACGTACACAGAGGACAACAAAGAGATTAGTGAAATTCTAAGAAGCCAGTATGAGGCTATGTTTAGCACACCAATAAACAACAAGAAAGCTGATGACCCAGACAGCTTCTTTATGAATGTCATTCAAGATGCAGATAATATAACGGATATTAACACGAACTCGGAAGACTTTGAAAGAGAAATTGACAATATGTCTATGCACTCAGCTCCTGGGCCTGACTCATGGAATTCAATATTCATAAAGAAATGTAAAGTACCAGTAGCGAGAGCACTCAGCGTAATATGGAGAAAGAGCCTGGATACAGGGGAGATACCAGCAGCACTTAAATCTGCAGATATAGCTCCGTTGCACAAGGTAAAGCCTTGGCAAAAAATTATAGGCCAGTTGCACTAACATCACACATAATAAAAGTGTTTGAAAGAGTAATTAGGAATCAAATTTCTAGTTTTATGGAAAACAATTAATTGCACAACCCAGGACAACATGGATTTAGAGCGGGAAGATCCTGTCTGTCACAGTTACTCAACCACTATGACAAAATCACAGAAGCTCTAGAAGAGAAGCAAAATGCAGATGTCGTATGCACAGACTTTGCAAAGGCGTTCGACAAATGTGACCATGGGGTGATAGCTCACAAAACGAGGTCAATGGGAATAACTGGAAAAGTAAGACGCTGGATACTCAATTTCCTGTCGAACAGAACGCAGAGTAACAATCAATCAAATAAAATCGAGTTCAAGCGACGTTAAAAGCTCTGTATCTCAAGGTACAGTCCTTGCACCACTGCTGTTCCTTATTCTCATATCAGATATAGACAAAAATACAAGTCACAGCTTCGTGTCATCCTTCGCAATTGACACAAAAATCAGCATGAAAATTACCTCTGCTGAAGACATTGAAAAATTACAAGCAGATGTCAACTAAGTTTTCGATTGGGGAGCAGAAAATAACATGATGCTTATCAGTGATAAATTCCAGGTACTCAGGTACGGTAAAAATGAGGATCTGAAACATAATACAGGGTACAAAACACAATCGAATCTTCCCATAGTAGAAAAACAGCATGTCAAGGATTTGGGAATAATGATGTCCGACGATCTAACGTTTAGGGAGCATAACCAAGCAAATATTGCGTCAGCCAGAAAAATGATAGGATGGATTACGAGAACTTTCAAATCCAGGGATCCCATCACAATGGTTGTACTCTTCAAGTTACTTGTGTTGTCCCGTCTTGAGTACTGCTCAGTACTCACTTCCCCCTTCAGAGGGGGAGAGATTGCTGAAATAGAGGGAATACTGAGAACATATACGGCACGTATAGACGAGATAAAACACCTAAATTATTGGGATCGTCTCAAAGCTCTTAAAATTATCTCTTCAGAAAGGAGACGAGAGAGGTACCAAATTATATATACTTGGAAAATACTGGAGGGTCAGGTCTTCCAAATCTACACAGTAAAATAACAACATACTGGAGTGAACGATATGGAAGAAAATGCAAGATTGAACCAGTGAAGAGCAGAGGTGCCATGGGCACAATCAGAGAACACTGCATAAACATCAGAGGTCCGCGGTTGTTCAACGTCCTCCCAGCGACTATAAGAAATATTGCCGGAACAACCGTGGACATCTTCAAGAGAAAACCAGATAGTTTCCTTCAAGGAGTGCCGGACCAACCGGGCTGTGGTGGGTATGTGGGCCTGCGGGCCGCTCCAAGCAACAGCCTGGTGGACCAAACTCTCACACGTCGAGCCTGGCCTGGGGCCGGGCTTGGGGAGTAGAAGAACTCCCAGAACCCCATCAACCAGGTATCACCACCACCACCACCACATCTACCACCACCTCCACCACCAGCTCCCCCACCCAAGCAATTTCGCATATCATTAACCACCATTGCATCGAGGCAGAGATGAGATATTGATTGACACCCGCAGCCTCCCGCAGACAGGTAGGATCACCTCTCCCAGGTCATCTCACACCTCGCCTTATGTGAGCAGACATCCTCCACACCAAGAGCCCGGCCAGCCTCCGGCCACCCTCACAAACACGCCATTGACAACACCCGCCGCTGAGGGCGGCCCTGGCGGGAGAGTCAACAGAAGGAAGATAGTCTGGGGCGTCCTGAGGGAGGTGACGCCGCCGGGTCACTGTGGCTGATCTTACGTGCCCTGGGTAACTACTGGTTCAGCTGGCAGTGGAGAGGGAGAGGCAGAGGAGAGGGAGAGAGAGAGAGAGAGAGAGAGCTGGTTTACCTGCTGGCCCACCAGAGCCAGCCACCGGGGGTCCAACAGGTGCTGGCTCCTACCTTCATTACCACCCCCGCCACATCTACCACCCCCGTCACATCTACCACCACCCCATCTACTCTCCGCCCACCACCACATTAGCGCTACACAAGACTGGCCGTTATGGCCGCCATGAGCCCCGTGGGTGGCCCTCACCATGACTGTGAACTGCCACTACACACCTGGCCACCCCCCTTAACACTGCTGCTGCTCCTCCTGGGGGGGTGACGCTCCCGTCTGCGTCACCCCAGGGCCACACCCCCGGGCCACACCCCCGGGCCACACCCCCCGGGCCACACCCCCAGGCCACACCCCCGGGCCACACCCCCCGGGCCACACCCCAGGGACACACCCCCGGGCCACACCCCCGGGCCACACCCCCCGGGCCACACCCCAGGGCCACACCCCAGGGCCACACCCCAGGGCCACACCCCCGGGCCACACCCCCGGGCCACACCCCCGGGCCACACCCCCGGGCCACACCCCAGGGCCACACCCCCGGGCCACACCCCCGGGCCACACCCCAGGGCCACACCCCAGGGCCACACCCCAGGGCCACACCCCAGGGCCACACTCCCGGGCCACACCTCCGGGCCACACCCCCGGCCACACCCCCGGGCCACACCCCAGGGCCACACCCCCGGGCCACACCCCCGCCTCACTGACTCACGGCGTCCTCCCAACTCCCAAATTTATTTCGTCTCGTCCATTGTCCCAGGATTACTCTTACTTCTTAGTGTGTGTGATTAATCTTACTTGTTAAAGGTTGCTGGGGGCGCCTCCCCCTGGGCGTCCACCACCGGGGGGCTCAGGGCTCCACGCCCCGGGGATATGTCTGGAAAAGACAAGCGATGGATGACCATTAATGAAACCTCTCTCTCTCTCTCTCTCTCTCTCTCTCTCTCTCTCTCTCTCTCTCTCTCTCTCTCTCTCTCTCTCTCTCTCTATTTTCCATCGATATTAATGTAATATAACGTGGAGAGTCACTATAATGTAGAGTTTAAGCCAAGTATTGTGCCTAGCCACCGTCCTTATGCCCCTGTTCACCCAGCACACACGGCCAATCAAAATGCCTCATCCAAGACCAGTAATTACCCTCAGTAATAACTGTCGCTGAACCATAAAGCCAACGCCATTGGAGGGGAAACGGGGGGGGGGGGGGGGGGTGGGGTGGAGGGGAGACGGGGGGGGGGGGGGAAGTTGACTTTTAAAGGTGGGGATTACGTGTCACGTGATCACCAATCAGTTGTAACGAGGCAATTTGCTGACTGGATGATACACCAGCCATTAATGGGGCCATTTGAGAACCATTTGCATGCATACAACCTCTTACCCGGGTTAATTCTTCCATCACCCTTCCTGAGAGTGAGTCCCTAGTACCCTGGCACCCGTTACCTGTGGCAGGTAGCTACTGTTACGTGTGGCAGGTGACGACCGTTACCTGTGGCAGGGGGCTACTGTTACCTGTGGCAGGTGACTACCGTTACCTGTGGCAGGTGCCTACCGTTACCTGTGGCAGGGGGCTACCGTTACTTGTGGCAGGTGGCTACCGTTACATGTAGCAGGTGCCTACCGTTACCTGTGGCAGGGGGCTACCGTTACATGTGGCAGGTGGCTACCGTTACCTGTGGCAGGGGGCTACCGTTACTTGTGGCAGGTGGCTACCGTTACATGTAGCAGGTGCCTACCGTTACCTGTGGCAGGGGGCTACCGTTACTTGTGGCAGGTGCCTACCGTTACCTGTGGCAGGTGGCTACCGTTACATGTGGCAGGGGGCTGCAGGTGACGAATCTCGCTGCCCTGATCACTGTTGAAACTCTTGTGAACAGGAACTGAGTAGTACACACTTCATTATTTAATGTTCAGTCATTAGACCCGTCACACCTGTCTGTATGAGGTGCCTGGAACTTCGTAATTACTTTACCCACTCCCGTGGTCGTGAGGAGTGCCTCATGATACAGCCAGTGTAGTTACTCATCACAAACCTCTATATGACTATCCTGTGAGGTGAGGAGTTATCATATAACGCTCTTGACTCACGCTATATAACCCTTCATATAGTCTAGGACAGCTGTATACCAGGTACACAGGCATGTTAAATGAATAAGAAAAAGGAATATTGTGATCAGGGAGTTTGAGACCTGCCTGACCTGCCTGACCTGCCTGACCTGCCTGACCCCGCGTGGGTGACCGTGACCAGCCAAGCCGTCTACCACAGCATGTGTTGAGGAGGTGGGACCGTCACTACGTGTTGTTGTTGTTGTTGTTGTGTCTTGTCACCGCCCGCCCACCCCCACGCCCCCGTCTACCGATTCATCCACCCCTCCCACCCCCACCCATTCATACACCCCGCCCACGCCCCACCCATTCATCCACCCCGCCCACGCCCCACCCATTCATACACCCCGCCCACGCCCCACCCATTCATACTCCCAGCCCACGCCCCACCCATTCATACTCCCCCCCCCACGTCCCACCCATTCATACACCCCGCCCACGCCCCACCCATTCATACTCCCCGCCCACGCCCCACCCATTCATACACCCCGCCCCCCCCCCTCCACCCCACAGACGCTCACCCACCTCCATAACCTTTCAGACAACGCCTTAACACGGGGAGGTGGTTCACCCCGCGCACCTTTAAGGTTAGAGAGAAGGTGATTTACGGGAGGTAATTTGCATATTCTTATGTGAATGTTTCCAAGTGGAGGCAAGCAACCAGCCAGGCTACCAGTCAACCAGCCAGGCTACCAGTCAACCAGCCAGGCTACCAGTCAACCAGCCAGGCTGCCAGTCAACCAGCCAGGCTACCAGTCAACCAGCCAGGCTGCCAGTCTACCAGCCAGGCTGCCAGTCAACCAGCCAGGCTACCAGTCAACCAGCCAGGCTACCAGTCAACCAGCCAGGCTGCCAGTCTACCAGCCAGGCTGCCAGTCAACCAGCCAGGCTGCCAGTCTACCAGCCAGGCTGCCAGTCAACCAGCCAGGCTGCCAGTCTACCAGCCAGGCTGCCAGTCAACCAGTCAGGCTGCCAGTCAACCAGCCAGGCTACCAGTCAACCAGCCAGGCTACCAGTCAACCAGTCAGGCTGCCAGTCAACCAGCCAGGCTACCAGTCAACCAGCCAGGCTGCCAGTCTACCAGCCAGGCTGCCAATCAACCAGCCAGGCTGCCAGTCAACCAGCCAGGCTGCCAGTCAACCAGCCAGGCTGCCAGTCAACCAGCCAGGCTGCCAGTCAACCAGCCAGGCTGCCAGTCAACCAGCCAGGCTGCCAGTCAACCAGCCAGGCTGCAAACAACAATCCTGTCTACTAACAAGTCAGTCAAGTCATCTTCTTGACTCTTCTGACACTCAGCTCTTCACCAGTTAGAATAATGGTGAGAGACATAAGGAGGACTGCTCCCTCACCACCATTACTACCACCACAACCACCACCATCACTACCACCATCATCACTACCACCACTACAAGCACCATCACCACCACTACTACCTCCACCGTGTCACCACAACGAGACAATAGTGCAGACCACTCCGCTATAAGGCCCGCCGCCGCCCACCCTGGCGTCAACACCTCCACCCCAAGTGGGATGGTTCACCCTCCCGAGGACAATGACCCATCCACGGGACGCCCGTACTCGCCCCACCCCTAAACGTCCACACAATACTGAAGTTCAACATCCAACTGGGAGCAACATCCGCATGAATAACCGAAGACCAACTGACGAGCTCCGGCTTCCTGTCCCCCGTCGAGGCCACTAGATGTGGTGGCCCTCAGGGCTTCCTGTCCCCCGTCGAGGCCACTAGATGTGGTGGCCCTCAGGGCTACCTGTCCCCCGTCCATGCGTGTTTCTGCTGCATGCAGCATGGGGACCACTCCAGCTTGACGCACGTGACGCTCACGTGGCCCCAGCATGGTGAAGTGATCTGATGAAATATCTGTGCCCAAAGTGGTCAACGAGAGCTGTCGGGTATTGGGTTAAGGGTCAGACCACTTCCAGTTATTTTGTATAGTCAGTGTGGCTGAGCGGTTACAGTACTGGTCACGCCAAGGGGCATGGAGGCCCTGGCTGTCCGGGTTCGAGTCCTTAAGGGGTCAAGAGTTTTCTGATGCGTGTTGGCTTGGGGACCGTTCAAAGCAATGCAAAAAAAGGACAACATAGTCCATAAACGTCGCCTATGAAGGTATAGACGACGTTGGTTTCTTTCAAGACGTTCTCTTTGGTGTCTGGATTCATGAAGAACTCTCCAGACACCAAACAGAACGCCTTGAAAGAAACCAACGTCGTCTATGCCTTGAAATGCCCACTTGGGGACTGTAAGCCCCAAAGATCTCAGTATATAGGCAAGACAACAACATCTCTTTCCAGGCGATTAACAATGCATAAGCAAAAGGGCTCCATCAAGGAACATATAATCTCTTCTCACAACCAGACCATCACCAGAGAAATCTTAACAAACAACACAGAAATCATCGATAGGTACGGCGATAGCAGGCGGCTCGACATCTGCGAGGCACTACACATCAAAAAGTCAACACCAGCAATCAACAGCCAATTAATGCACAACTATATTCTACCCACTTCAATGCATCGTATGGGCCAATAGGCCCCTCTGCAGTTACTTCCATTCTCATGTACCTACCTTACCCAATACCCACCTCACCCAAACCAATAAAAAGCGAGGGTTATGTCAAATGTTTCATACACAGTGCATCGAGTGTATCATAAATGTTGTTCATAAGTGTAATGTTAAGTGTAGAGAAATATTTGAGAATGTAAGAAGCCCTTACGAAACGCTTCTAAGCGTCAGACCATTAATAAAAAATTGAATTTTGGTGAATTGATATTTTCATTACCACCAACAGTGAAGCAAAACATAAGAAATATTGAAAAAATTCGTGTTAGAATTATTAATCTTACTTTTTCGGTCATATTCAACAACATATGTTTACAAGAAAGACTTCAAGCAAAATATATATATATATATATATACTATATATATATATATATATATATATATATATATATATATATATATATATATATATATATATATATATATACAAAGAGAGAGAGAGAAATACATTTTCCTGGGCCAGACAGTGGTGGGCCAGTGTGCATCTTAAAGATCCACAGGACATGATTTTCCAAATTGGAATGTCGTCTTGCACATCAACCTGGCTCAGGGTCTGAAGACCACATGTGGGACCTGGCACATGGTCAGCGACACACACACACACACACACACACACACACACACACACACACACACACACACACACACACACACACACACACACACACACACACACACAGCCGGCGGCCGAGCGGACAGCACGCTGGACGCGTGATCCTGTGGTCCCGGGTTCTATCCCAGGCGCCGGCGAGAAACGATGGGCAGAGTTTCTTTCACCCTATACCCCTGTTACCTAGCAGTAAATAGGTACCTGGGAGTTAGCCAGCTGTCACGGGCTGCTTCCTGGTGTGTGTGTGTGTGTGGTGTGGAGAGAAAAAAAAGTAGTTAGTAAACAGTTGATTGACAGTTGAGAGGCGGGCCGAAAGAGCTAAGCTCAACCCCCGCAAACACAACTAGATGAATACAATCTATTAGAGTAGGAAAGAAGCAATACTAGAATGATGTCACCTACAGGACTGTGTCCCAGCCACAGTGTTCCCATAGCCCCACCAGGAGGAAGATGACAGTGAGTGACCAGGTGAACAGACTGGACAAAAGGGTTGGAGGACACATGAAGAAGGACCAGGAGCTGTGCGACGAACTTAACTGAAGCTCTCAGAAAGTATTCCAGCAGTCCGTCCTCCGGAGGTTTCCCAACG